TCTTCTCACATTCATTCCATTCCTATTGCCTTTTCCCCTATGAAATGCCCCTGCAGTCTCAGTGCTCCCTGGAGGCTGCCCTCCGGTGAGTCCCCTGGTCCCTGAACACACTTGAGCTGCTGAACGTCCTTCCCACCTCCTGCTCTCCAGGCCTCTCCCACAGGTGGTTCTGCAGCTGCTCAAGGCTGGGACCCCGTCCTCCTCTTTTAAGTGTTGCTCCCCAGGGCACAGCATGGGGTGCTGAGGGTCCCCACTAAATCTCCTCCTGTGGGTGCCTCTGCCCAGATGGAGCTCCACAGCCTCTGCTCTGTGCCAACAGCCCTTCACCATCCACAGGGGGTTCTGCAGCCTCAGGAGCCCAGGCCAGGTCGTGCCCCACAGCTGATGACCTCAGACTCTCTTCCTGCTGGTGCTGTCACTGCAGCCACCACAGGCATCTGGTCTCTGCATGGGTGCTGAGAGCCATTAGCCAAGTAGGTATGACAATTTCCTTGCCAGTGTACCCCATGTTGCTTAGAGGAAGGACTCGTGGAAATGGACTTGTTTTGGACATTTGCAGTGACATTGCATGTATGCTTGAGTAAGGTGACCCTGCTCAAGGACCAGGGTGGATCCGGGTTTAAGTAGGATCCTACTGGATTAGGGCGGATCAGGTTTTAGGCAGTATCCCGCTCCTTGGGTTTAGGGCAGTTCCAGGTTTAAGGTGTACCCTGCTGGGAATAGGGCGTATCCTGCTGCCTCAGGCACACCCGCTCCCAGAGTATTTGGGATTCAGAACGTGGATTTTGCAGAGAACGTGATTTTCCCCAGAAGATGTTTGTAGAGGGCCAGTGTGAGTTCGGGAATAAAGAGTTGCTGTTTGAATCTACAAGGTGTGTGGTGGCTCGTGATTTTGTGCCCAGCCAGATTGCGGCAAATGGGAACAAAATTCTCTTCTGTGTTGCCCTCTTGTTCTGGTCACTCTTAGAAGTGTCTTTAAAATATATGGTTTTTCAACTCTACCCTGACTAAACAAATGAGGACATTAAGTATCTCCTGTTTTGTTATGGGCTATATAAGAAGAGGACAGACTGGAAGAGAGAAATGTAGGAGGCTGACCTTCAGGCCCAGAGTCCTCATGGTGGTGCAGCTGTGCAGGCATAGATACAGGCAGGCCTCAGACGTCCTATGAGAACTTGAGAATCTCAGGCATCACAAGGGTATGAGCAGCTTCATCATGAGGTGTTTAAACAGGAGTGCTGCAGAATACAGTGACCTCACTGATCCTGGGGGAACAGGATGGGAGCTGACCCTTGACCAAGCTGCCCTTGTACCTGCAAGAGCCCCACAAGCACACCACACCACTCATCCAGAACCTTTCTGTGTGGCTGCATCTCACCTTTGTGTGGCTGTGCACTCCTGCAGGAAACATCCCTTATTGGTGTGATACTAGCAATCCCTGCACACTGGGCCTTCCCATTTATGGATGGCTGGCAGGAGGAGGACCAGTAGGAAGCAGGAAAGAACTCCCCAGCTTCACTCCCGGTGCCTCTGAGCAGCATAAGACAAACACTCTTCCTGGGAAAGATGGTGGCACTGCAGTCTGCTCCCTACTTGTAGCCTAGGCCTCCCTCATGCAAAGCAGCTCCCAATCTCAAGCTGAAAGCCCAGCCTTGGCTGAGCAGCCCCCGCCTCCTTCTCATTAGTTCTTCATTGCAGCTTGGAGGTTCTGGTGCTGCTCCTCTGCCTGGTGACACCTCACTTTGAGAATGTACAAGGATTTCCTGAGAAGGTTGTGGTTATGCAGGTGCTACTGTGATTAACAAGAGGTGATGTTTCTTGTACCCGGGTGTCATGTCCCAAGTGCAGCCCAGGAGTTGAGACCTGGCCTGGTGAAGTTCTTGCACACCCTGTCCCTCACCTGTGCTATCACTGGATTCTTACTTCCCACCTGTGGTGTGAGTTGGATCTGCCAAGATCCTGGGAAGGGCCTGGAGTATGCTAGAAGAACATATAGTGGTGGAAGCAGATACCATTACACACCTGTTCCTGAGCCCCTTGCTGGTCCTGAGGACTCCCTGATGGACCTGAGCATATGCTGGTTCTTTTCCCCAGATGTCCTTCCCAGTTGCACCTGCAGGGGTTGAAATCAATACTGCTGAGAGTCAACATCACCAGGGACACTTCCAAGAGCCAGGTATCATTAGAACTCAACAGCTTAAAACCTGAGGATATGGCTGTGTATTCCAGTGGGAGACACCCAGTGAGGGAACTCAGTGTGAGCCCAGTCACTAACCTTCCTATAGGGGAAGCTCAAGACCACCGTGGGGATCTAAGGACCACCAGGTGGAGCTGAGGACCAGCAGGGGG